GGGGGGGGGGAGAGATGAAGGCAGACTCTGGAGATTATTCCACGGGGTCTTCCCTCCTAAAAGCATTTAAGGGTGGAGATCTTAGGGGAGGTCCCAGGGGAGGATCTCAGTAGAGTATTTACCAGCTTTCCAGGTGGGTCCTTTCCCGGTGGGGAGTCATTAGTCAGTGCAGCTGCTCCTGAGGTCAGCCCAAGCATAGCTTATCTGGTTTACTGCTTTCCTCTGCCTGGAGCTGAACTACAACTGAGGCCTAGATGCTACCTTTAGGGAGGTGCCCATCTGCATCTGGCTCTAAATTGCTAGCCCTCTCAGTTTCCCCATTCCACTTACCAAGGAATTTTCCTAGCTTTTTACTTAACCTGCCTCACAAGTAGAGAGCAAAGGAACACACAGCCAAGCCCAGCCCTCGGCCCGGCGCTGGGGGATGGGCACCCGCCCACTGAGGCTCAGCACCCGTCTACCTCAAGCCTCCACCCCCCGGCCTCAATTAACGCCGCGCCTTCCCCTCAGCGGCCAGTCGCAGCGCCTGTGAGCCCAGCCGGGGGCAGCGGGCTCCTGGCCACGTGACTATGCCAGCGGAAGAGGTGGAGCCGAACTGCTAACGCTGCCCGGTCGCCTAGCAACAGCCCCACGCGGACTGATGGAGGCCAACAACAGCAGGGAGCTCCAGGCCAGGAAGTATTTGGAAAAACATCGGATTATGGAGTTGCTGAACTATCTCACCAGCAACCTGCTCTTTTTCCAGCCACGTAAGGTCTTGCCTACCCCTCGGCTTTCTGTGCCCCACAGGCAGCGGTTCCCAGAAATCCGGCTGTAGCCAGCCGGTCCTCCAGGTAACCCGCCGCCGCGCGCGCGCACACTCTCCTGCCTCTCCTCCCTTTGAGCCGTTGTGCTGCCGTTTAATGCTGTGGCCTTCAAGTAAATAAATACTCAGCGGCCTTTTGTGCCTAGCGCTGGCCAGGTTGCGGCGGAACTCAGGCCGGTGGGGCCGTAGGAGGGGAGAGAGTCGGCCCGCAGCCTGCCGCCTGGCTCCACCTCCTAGAACCATGTGACCGAGCAAAGGCCTGAACCTCAGGCTCCTCTTTTGGAAAATGGCGGCAACAGTGCCGATCTCGTGGAAACGTGGGGAAGAGTAAATAAATGAATCACCCCTATGCCTCTCAAGGAACAGAGGTTTCCAATGTTTCCCCGACCTCAGAGTTTTTAATCTGGTAAGAGAATTAAACAATTGGTAGGGTAAGACGGAACGGTGTTCTGGAGGAGAACGCTTTTCCTGATATTTTTTACACCTCTGACCCCCTTACAAAGTTTGAAACATTGCTTAATTTTTATGCTGTGATTTCAAAGTTATGTTAAGGTGAAAATTATATTATGTTGATGGCCTTCTTAGCAGGTACAAAATTGTAATTTGCCGGCCTCCCTCCGCAGGAAGTGTCCAAAATGCCAAAATTACCCATGTCGCCCTTTAAACAAATGGAAATTCCGAACATTAGGACTTAGCAGAAAACCACCCAACCAGTATGATCGTGTTTAGGGTGATAGAGCCTTCTCTATTTGCTTTAAGTCAGTAAGACAATAGAAACCCTGCAACAAATAAAAATAAATAGAAAGTGAAAAAAAGTACAAAGGAGTGCACCATTTTTAAATTTTTGTTTATTTTTTATTTATTTTTTTAAATATATCTTTATTGCTTTCAGAGAGAGGAAAGGAGAGAGAGAGAGAGAGAGAGAAACATCAATGATGAGAGAGTCATTGATCTGCACACCCCCAACTGGGGATCTAGCCCGCAACCTGGGCATGTGCCCTGCCTGGGAATTGAACCCCAATCGCCTGGATCCTAGGTCCATGCTCAACCGCTGAGCCACGCCCAGCTGGGCTAAAATTTTTGTTTATTGATTTGAGAGAGGAAGGGAAAACAAGAGCGAGAGAAATACCCATTTGTTTCTACAAATGCACTTTTTTAAAAAATCCTCACCCAAGGATATGTTCTTATTGATTTTTAGAGAGGGATGAAGGGAGAAAGAGAAACATCAATGTGAAAGAGAAACATCCATGTGAGAGAGAATATTCATCGATCACTTCCTGTATGAGTCCTGGCCGGGAAACCTAGGTATGTGTCCTGACGGGAATCAAACCAGCAACCTTTTGGTGCACCAGCCCTGGACGACACAACACCAACCGAGCCACACCAGCCAGATCCACAACCTTTAGCTATACGGGCTGGGAGGATGCTCCAACCACTGATCCACCAAACCAGGGTTCTTCCTTAATCTTTAATTGTTCCTTTTTTAAAAGCAGCATGTATTCTTGATTAGTGCTTCTCTTAGCTTTTGAGCATTTGAATTAACAGTTTTTTGACATTTGATTTTGTCCTGTTATGTCCTATTTCTGTTTCCCTTGGGTTCTGTTTTCTGTTTGTTTATTATAGTTTCTGTATTTCATGTTGGAGACTTTCTTCAAATGTCATATGATCCTTTTCTATTCATATATATTAAAATGTGAGGCACCAAAAAGATGTTTGGAAGTTCTCTGTATATAGGCATGACAGTATACTAAAGGCTTTACTGTAAGTTACATTCATGCAATGTTAAAAATAAATTTGAGCCCGGCCGGGCGTGGTTCAGTGGTTGAGCGTCCACCTGGGATCCAGGCGATTGGGATTCAATTTCCGGTCAGGGCACGNCGGCCGGGTGTGGTTCAGTGGTTGAGCGTCCACCTGGGATCCAGGCGATTGGGGTTCAATTTCCGGTCAGGGCACGTGCCCAGGTTGCGGGCTCTATCAATGACTCTCTCATCATTGATGCTTCTATCTCTCTCTCTCCCTCTCCTTTTCTTTCTCTGAAATCAATGAAGATATGTTTTTAAAAAAAATAAAAAATAAATAAATAAATTTGAGCCCTGGCCAGGTGGCTAAGTTGGTTGGGGCTTCATCCTGTGGTGTTGCAGGTTCGATTCCTGGCCAGGGCACATATCTAGGTTTAGGGTTCAATTTCTAGTCGGGCACATTTGTGAAGTGACCAAAAGATGTTTCTCTCACATCAATTTTTTTTTCTCTCTCTTCTCCTTCCTCTCTTTCTAAAAATCATTAAAAACATATCCTTGGGTAAGGATTAAAAAAAATGAATGCACTTTATTTGAAAAGCACTGGGGAGCCCCGGCCAGGTAGCTCAGTTGGTTAGAGCATTGTCCCCATATACCAAAGTTGCTGACTCCATCCTGGTTAAGGCACATACAAGAAGCAACCAAAGAATGCATAAATAAGTGAACAACAAATCAGTGTTTCTCTCTCCCTGCCTCCTTCCCTCTCTCTGTCTCTAAAATCAGTATATTTAAAAAATGTTTTAAAAGCACTGGGAAAAGTTTCTATCAAACTAGTTATTCTGAAAAGATCACTAGTAAGGTCTCAGTGAAATAACTGAACTGTTATTTTTGATGGCCTGATTTTAAAGCATTTGGTTTTTCAAAATAAATGTGTCATCACATTCATATTAACAACTTCTAATAATATTCATTAACATACAAATTTTAATTTTAATCTTCCCCATTTAACAAGTGATATTCATTACATAAAATATTTGTCAACATATATTTTTAACTCCATTTTTATTTTTATCAGAGTTATGTATGAGGTTTAAAAGTAAAAGAGCATGCCCTGGCTGGTTTTCTCAGTGGTTAGAGCATCAGCCTGTGGACTGAAGGGCCCTAGGTTTGATTCCGGCCAAGGGCACTGCACGTACCTCGGTTGTAGACTCAATCCCCAGCCTTAGTTGGGGTGAGTGTGGGAGGCAACCAATCAATATGTGCCTTTCTCCTTTCTACTCTCTCTGAAAAGCAGTGGAAAAAATATCCTCAAGTGAATATTAAAAAGAAAATCAAAAAGCATTATAAGGCTTATAATGAATAACAGCATTCGCTTCCCTATCCCAAATTCCTACTCTACAGAAAAGAAAAAAGAAAAAAGATTTTCAACCCTTTATTTCCTTTGCTATTTAACTTGATATTTTCAATCACAGACTTATACTGCTACTTCTTTATGTTCCCACCTCAAGGTTTATATTTAGCTTTATACTGTAGAAGATGAAAATTTAGCTTTTACTCAAACACATGCACAAACACACTCACACCTGTTCCCACTCACCCCCATTTTCCCAGTAAAGTTGGAACACAATTTTTTTTTTAATATATCTTTATTGATTTCAGAGAGAGGAAAGGAGAGGGAGAGAGAGAGATAGAAACATCAATGATGAGAGAGTCATTGATCGAGCCCGCAACCCGGGCATGTGCCCTGACCGGGAATCGAACCCTGATCACCTGGTTCCTAGGTCGACGCTCAACCGCTGAGCCACGCCCTGCCGGGCTGGAACACAATTTTGGTATAACCAGTATTCACAATTTACGTTATTATTATTAGGCAAATATACACAGCTAATCCATGTAGTATGTTATGATTATATTCCCTTGGTTGTTTTCCCTGAAATTAATAGTAATACATTTTAAATATTTGCTTAAATTTTCTGTATAATGATCACTAATTCATATATATCCTCTTTTTATCACAAGTGTGGGTCTCCTCTCATTACATTTACATTCATCAGGTATTCACCAACCCCCACCCCATATTCCTAGCTCTCTGTCTTCCTGCTCCAGTCTGGACTGATCGCTAAATTGCCCTGCTATACAGTTATTCAGGGATTTCCCTCACTCTCATCCTAAAAATCCTCTTCTCTCTCCTGTGCTTAGTCTGTTTTATGGTACTTTGATCTCCCTTTCTTGCTTTTCCCCCTTCCTCCAATGGAACATATCCTCTAGTGGCTTCCTGAGTGTGCTTTGAGTGGTAAATACTTTGAGAACTCACATGTACAAAAATGTCTTATCCTACACTCAAACATGATGATAACTAAGGTGGATACAATTCTCAGTTGGAAAATGTCATCCTCAGCATTTTGACGGCATTGTTCCATTGTCTTCTAACTTCCAGGGTTGTTCTGGTGAAGTCTATATTATATCATCAGATTCTTGATCTATGTATATGACGTTTTTTCTTTCTAGAAGTTTTTAGGATTGTTTTATCTTACCCCTGCTATTCTAAATGTTTACATGCCTTGAAGTGGGTCTGTTTTTGTTTTCTAATTCATTGTGCTGGGTACTTTGTGGTCTTTTTAAATTTGTAGACTTTCTGTTCTCTGCTCCCTTCCTGGCCTTTTCCTCTCAAGCTCTTTATTATGTTAACCAATTTAGTATCTTGAGAATTCTTTTTTTCCTTCAATACAAAAAGTTTTGAACCTATCTGACAAAAAACAATTCTCCTATAAAAGGCATGGGGGTAGGGTAGGGATGGAGAGAATTTCTTAGCATTCTCTTAGCAGCAGGAACAAGGAAAGAAGGTCTGGGAATAGTTACACATTAATAAGGTAATCCCAATCACATAAATTATTTAAATAATTATCAATGTAAAAAACTGAGATGCTGTGAAGTCCTTGAAATAGCTCTACAAACTCCAGAATAGGGGAGGAAAAACCACAAATGAAGGAAACTTAGCTAAGATAAGGAGGGGGAAAGTTAAGGAAGAATTTGGCTGGCATCCAGGAAACATATACAATGCTTCTCAAAGTTTCCTGCCCAAGTCCTCCAAATACCAGAGGAAAGAGGACTTGTACCTTTAGTGTCTGAGACCTTAGCCAGATGCTGCATAGCAAGTTTCTTTGAAATCACTTCTTTTACCCTAAAAGTGTGTTTTGTTCTTCAACAGATTTTTTTAATTAAAAAAAATTTTTTTGTTTACTGATTTGAGAGAGAGAGAGAGGAAGAGAGAAAAACATCATTTTGTCCTTCTGCTTATTTATGCATTCACTGGTTGATTCTTATATGTGCCCTGACCCAGGATCAAAAAGGCAACCTTGGTGTATTGGGGCAATGCTCTAACCAACTGAGCTACCGGCCAGGGCTATATTTCTTTCTTTCTTTTTTATATATTTTTATTGATTTTTAGAGAGAGAGGAAGGGAGAGGGAGAGGGAGATGGAAACATCGATGAGAGAGAAACATCAACATTGATCAGCTGCCTCCTGCACACCCCCTACTGGGGATCGAGCCCGAAACCTGGGCATGTGCCCTGACCAGGAATCGAACCAGTGAGCTCTTAGTACCTGGGTGGACACTCAATCACTGACCAACACCGGCCGGGCAGGCTATATTTATTTCTTAATATAAATGTTTCATAATACCAGAGTATGATTAATGCTCAGGAAGAAACATTATCTCTATCTTGAATCTTTGGGGAAGCCCCTCGAATTATGATATGTATCGCAGTTTGAAAACCTTGGACTGTAAGGGAGTTACAGAAAATAAGACTAGGCAGCTTGATTGGATTATTACTGTTGGGAGAACAGGTCCACAATCCCACATCTCGATTCCAAAATTCTGAAAACCAACAGATTTTCATAACTCCTTTAACAGCAAAACCTGACATAACCTGAAATCACTTTGCAGGAAAATATAGCCCCTAGCCACTTCCCAGTGACAATTCTGTGCCGTAAAAGGAGGAAGTATAAATTTTTAGGGAATGACTTGCAATTGTAATAACCCAAATGAGAAATAATGCTGTGGGAGTGGTAAGGATAAGATGAAGCTGAGAGGTATTGAGGAGAAAGACTCACTAGAGACCACCATGATTGACTACATTTGGAGGTTGCAGATGCTTCCCATATTTGAGTTAGTAGAGTGTGGTAAAGTCTTCAAGCTTTAGATGCACATTACCTGGATTCCTGCTAGCTGTGTGGCCTTGGGCAAGTAACTGTTGTGAGGAACAAATGAAGTAACCTATAGGAAATGCTTAGCACAGTACCAAGCACACAGTAAGGGCTCAACAAATACTAGCTATTATTATTAAGATGTTGAACTTGAGGCCCGGGTCAGGTGGCTCAGTTGGTTGGAGCATCATCCAGTACACCAAAAGGTTTCAGGTTTGATTCCTGGTCAGAGCACACACTTAGGTTTCGGTTTCGGTCCCCAGTCAGGGTGAGTATGGGAGGCAACCAATCAGTGTTTCTCTCTCTCTCTTAAAAAAAAAAAAAAGGAAAAAATGTTGAACTTAAGGTTTATCTCTCTTGAGGAACTGATTGTCATTATCAGCTGACATTTATGTAACTTAGGTGCTTAGTACATTTGGATCTTCCCTTCATGTTTTAAAAAGTTTATATTTTTATTATATATATTTCTGTTGTAAGCATTTTCAAGACGTTTTTAGAAGCAGGCAGAGTATAAATTATAGACTCCAAACATAAACATAGCATCTCATGTAGTCTAAAGGATATACAGCAATAAGCCTTCATCAGAGTAGCACACCAAGTACACCACTCACAAAAATTAACTCAAAATGGACTGACTCAAAGCCTAATACCATAAAACTCCTAGAAGAAAACATAGAGAAGAAGCTCCCTGACTTGGACTTAGCAATGTTTTCTGGATATCACAACAAAAGCACAAACAACAAAAGCAAAAATCACCAACTGGAACTACGTCAAACTGAAAAGCACTGCAAAAGAAACAATCAACAAAATTAAAAGGTAACCTATAGAATATAGGAGAAAATACTTGCAAGCCATATGTCAGATAAGGGGTTAATATTCCAAAACATATAAAGAACTCATACAACTCAATAATAATAACAAACAATCCAACTAAAAAATGGACAGAAAAACTAGACATTTTTTCAAAGATGATATCCAAAATGGCCAACAGGTACATGAAAAGATGCTTAACATCACTATCAGGGAAATGCAAATCAAAACTACAATGAGATATCACCTTACACCTGTTAGAATGGCTGTTATCAAGAAGGCAAAGGTAAGTGTTCGTGAGAATGTGGAGAAAAGGGAACTGCTGGTAGGAATCTAAATTTGTTCAGCCACTATGGAAAATATGGGGGTTCCTCAAAAAATTTAAAACAGAACTACCATATCCTCCAGCAATTCTACTTCTAGGTATGTATCCAAAGGAAATAAAAACAGGATATTGAAGAGATATATGCACTCCCATGTTTATTGCAGCATAGCCAAGTTATGGAAAAAACTAAATGTCTGTCAGTGGAGGAATAAAGAAAATGTGATATATACCTATGATTAAATATTTATTCAGCCATGAGAAAGAAGGAAATCCTGCCACTTGCAACAACATGGATGAACCTTGAGGTCATTATGCGCTAAGTAAGATAAGTCAGAGAAAGACAAATACTATAAGATATCACTTAGAATGGTAGAGGGTGGGAGAATAGGAGAGATGTTTAAGGATACAAACTTGCAACTAGTAGATAAGTCCTGGAGATCCAATGCACAGTGTAGAAATTATAGACAATTCTATATTATAAACAAAAAATAAGAGACTATATCCTTATTATTCCCACCACAAAAAAGAAATAATCAATTTGAAGTGATACAGGTGTTAGCTAATGCTATAATGACAATCATATTGCAATATATAAATGTAACAAATCAACATAGTATATGCCAATTATATCTCAATTAAAATACAGAGGCATTTTCTTTTAGAGATATACACTCAAATAGTTACTAATGAAATATGATTGCTGTGATTTACTTCAAAATAATATAGGAAGAGGGGAACTGGATGAGATTATATTGAAATAAGACTGGCCACAAATTGTAACAATTGAAGTTGTTGATGGATTCATTATACTTTTCTGTTTTTACATGTGTATAAAATTTTCAATGATGACGTAAGTTTAAAAAAAATTATAACTACATGTATGTGTGCATATATATACATATATGCTTATATATATGTACATATATATATGGTGTGGCATCTGTCATCTAAGCTGGTCCACCTTAACTTCTTTTAGCTTCTTTTCATAACTGACCTGCATTATTTCTGTAAAGTAGATCTTGATTTTTCATTTTTCACATTTCTTGAGAGAGCCTGTTTATCCAAAATACTGCTTTTGTCAGAAATGAACATTTATGCTTCCTAATTGGAAGACTATATTAATCTAAGAATATTTTTATTTTATCCCTTCTTTCAGCGGCTACCTTCTTTCCTGCATCATGCTGTTTTTAAAAAAAATATGTTTTATTGATTTCAGAGAGAGAAAGTTAAAGGGACAAAGAGGGAGAGAGATACATCAATGAGCCATTGATCGGCTGCCTCCTGCACGCCCCCTACTGAGGATCGAGCCGGCAACCTGGGCATGTGCTGTGACCTGGAATCGAACCTCTCTCTACCTCCTGAGTCATGGGTCGATGCTCACCTCCCGAGCCACACAGGCCAGTGCATCATGCTCTTTCAATTTTCTTGATTTTCAGCTCTGTCTGCATATTAGAATCATCTCAAGTGCTTTTTCAAAAAAATGCCCAGGCCTAGTCTCTGGACTTTTTTATTCAATCATCTGTGGTAGAGCACAGATTACTCATATGTAATTAATATTAAGTTTTCAATATCTTGCCTTTGTCACAAGCCAGGTCTGTATCCCCAGTGCCTTGAACCATAGGTATTTAATAATTGTTAAATGATTTATCCACTTGTGACATATTTTATTTTCATATTAGAAAGAATTGGAACTATTTTTTTACAGATAAACCAAGAGAGTACTTAATATCTCTATTGGAACGACTGAGAATTGCCAAAATAACAGGTGTGGCTTTTCCTTTCTTTATGGATCACACTAACATTGCGGCTATGTTTGAGATGATGGACTCCTCAAATAAAGGCACCATATCATTTGTGCAGTACAAACAAGGTCAGTGTCCAATACAAATTCACACAGTCATTCCATAACTTTCTCTAGCTGAAAATAATTCACTTTGTAGACTTTCCTTCTCATTTTGACTTTTACAGCCCTAGATACCCTGGGTCTATGTACTGCAGATGAAGTTTTAAAAGATGATGGACATGGAATAACTTTGGATAAATTCAAGCATGAAGTGTAAGTTCATTTTCTCTAATGAGTAATATTTAAAGAATGTGGCATGATTTTGAAGTATAATAAATACCTTTTAAAACAGGTTTCTACCTTTTTAAGATTTCTTAAATTGATTTTTAGAGAAAGAGGGAGAGGGAGAGAGAGAAACATCAATGTGAGAGCAAACCATTGGTCTGCTGCTTCCTATGTGCCCCCTCGGGGATTGAGCCTGCAACCTGGGCATGTGTCCTGACCGGGAACTGAACCAGCAACCTTTCAGTGCATGGGACGATGCCCAACCAACTGAGCCATACCAGCCAGGGCCAGGTTCCTACCTTTTGATAGAAATGTTCAGCTGACTAGCAAGTGAGGACAGGGAAGGCTGACAGAAAAGCCCCTAAGCCTGGGAAAGGGGAGAGAAAACACTAGTTAGGAAGTTCCAGGGGCATCTTCATTCTTTTCTCAATGGGAAGCCCCAGCAATTCTCAAAAAATGAGGTCGAAAAGCCCCAATTTGCTAGGATAACTAACAGAAAAGCTGTGAGTTCAATATATTATTTGGAAAAATCTCTGTATAAAATGTAGGGTAATAGAATTTCTCTCAAAATATTTCCTCAAAATTAAAGTAAATAATATTTATCAATAGTATAGGTGCCATGCCAGACTGACAATTTTAGATTTGAAGTATTACAGCATAAAAAGTTCTAACTAAATGCTAAGTCAGAAAAAAGCTCATTGGAATAAAATGTGGGAGTTGTAGAAACACTAGTCTAACTCAGTTTGTTTAAGTTTTACTCACTGAGGATTTATTCATCAAGAAATCATTAACATAGGCCAAGGCCAAGGAAAAGTTAGAAAGCTTAAGATTCTCATTTCATCAGTTACATAAATATTAAACAAACATTGTTTAATTATATTCCTCACCCTGGGGAAGATTGAAACACAGTGCTCTGGCCTGAAATATTGCCCAGTCATATGGAATAGAACTAGGAAGTATTTTAAATGGAAGGACATTATGGTAAATGAGAGCAATCCTATTTTAGTCATCTCTTAATGTGTTTTCTTATAGGAAATACAGTGAATTTCCAAACTAGATACAGGAACTTCAATTATAAATATGTGTTCTAAAGTGATTTTTAAAAATTTATTTGCTGTGTTTGATTATCCACAACAGTCTCCCTTAGTTAACATAGGAAATTTAAAGTTGGTTATAATTTATTATCTATGCACTTGGATTTTATTCAATAGACATATTCAGCATTTATATTTGTAAATGGAATTACTCTGAGTTTTCATGGCTTCTGAATTTTCTGTTTTTGTTTTCCTAGGAACAAAAGGTCTCAGGAAATATGGTCATCATATTAATAACACTGTAAGTCAAAGATAATAAATGATTCTATGAAGTTTTCAGTTATCCAGTTTCATTAATTCGGAACTTCATCATTTAACTTAATCCAATTGGCTTCCTCTTTGTTCAAAAAAAGAAAAAAAAGCCCAAAACAAAAAAGATGCATTATTTCCCAGTGTTAGGCCAGTTTGTCCTCAAATTAAGTAGAATCTCAACATCTTGTTGAGCCAGTTTGTAAATTCCAACTTCATTTAATGCTGCTGTGGCAGGAGGTTGCCCAGAAGTTGACTGCAGGACATCTTTCAGAAGTAGGGCAGAACCAATGTTCAAATTCAAAATAATACAGGCTTCTTTTACACTGTTTAAAAAAAGCAGGAGGGAAATGAGATCTCCATTATCTTTATCATCCACATTATTCTGTAACAATTTCATTTTGAGAAACTAAAGAGCTTCCCTGCACTGCTACCCCATGTACCCTCAATAAAAACTATGTATGGATTTATTATTTGGTTCTTTTAACATATTAGGACTATGTATGTATGCAGACGTTATATTTCATCAGATTACTATAAGGTAATAGCATCACTGTTTTCAGTATGTACCCATTACTTCCCAATATATAATACTTGATATTAACATTCTATTAAGTGTAGCTAAGACTTTAGGTAGATTAGGATATGAGAAAAGAGAATATTAAGGGATGAAGTGAAAGCAGTAGAATGAAGTGAAAGCAGAAGAAAGGCAGAATACTAATACAAAACAACAACAAAAACAGAAAACGAGCTTACTGAAACAAGCAAAAGTTATTTCATTTTATAAATTTAAAAAGAATATTTTATAATCTCAGAAACACTCCATAAACAATTTAAATTTTACATCAATAATTTCTAAAAATACTTCTGAATTCTTATACACATTTACAGTTATACTTAGATCCAAAATTAATATCAAATGTTTAAGAACAAAAATTTTTTTTCAAGCCTGGCTTGTTATTAGATACTAAACATATTTTTAATTTCTTATATTGACTATGGCAGAACTGCACTTGCTTTCATTTTCTATTTACCCAGTAATAAGCAAATCGGAGCGTTAAACCAAATGCTAGAAAACAAAGCCCAACATATGATTTATATCCAGTTCTGGTGAACTTTTTGGGGTCACTAGTCAAATCCTATAAAGGGTGGGATAAAAGTAGGTTTACAGTTGTATGTGAAACATAGTTTATTATTATTATTTATAAATTATTGTATTATTTTCCATACGAACAACTACAACCTACTTTTGCCCCACCCTGTATTATTCTGATACTCAATGAATATTTAAAATTTTTAATTGATGTTATATACATTTAACATCACCGGAACCCTAAAGTTGTTAAAAAAGGAATTAATCTCCTCTAACGATTTGATACATCAAAATCAATTGTTAAATACTGAGCTTACTGTTTAAAGTAATTTTCTGGTCTCTTGCAATAGTGGGAGAACAAAGGGAAAAGATTCCGAGTCATATCAAACTGCAGCTGAGCTGCTCCTCCTTCATTGAAGTGATTAGCAAGAATGATCTGAAACAAAGAATAATTCATATAACAGTTGCCTTTATCATCACAGCCCCAAAATACAGTCTACTCTTTACTTACTTCTTGGTAGATGTATATGTCCAGCTTTTCTACAAGCATTTGCCAGAAAATTTTAAATAAAGAGAAGCAAAGCTGCTGTTCCAATTGAAGTAAACGGTCTCGTAACGTAAGGAGTAAGGGGCAAGCCGAGCTGGACAGGGACATTACTGCCTGCTCAGACTGAGATGGCAAGGACAACCACCTGGAAAAAACAAAAACAGCACTGCCTGTAGCACATTAAATTTTACCATAAAAGTTTTCATCGCTTTGTATTTTTAAAGCTTTAACAAATTATAAATTGGAGGAAGAGCACTGTCCTGAGGCATTTTGGATAAGAAAAAATGTACATCCCAACATTAAAAACTCTCTCAGAAAATAAATATGCCTTTATTTATACTTTAGCTCTCAATTAAATACTCTTTATTTAATGAAGATGACAGATTACAATTTTAAATCCCCAAATAGGACTTACTGAAATAATTATAAGACAGTTAAAATGTGAAACATAAATTTAAGATAACAGGTAATTTTATGCTCTAATTTTCAGCAAAACAGGGACTAATAACAATTCCAAACTGATTGGGACCCTGCTAGGACAAAAAGGCATTGCCTGCTGTCAAGGAGCTCAGTCTGGTGGAGGTAACACGTGTGCACAGGGAGTTACGGCAGGAGAATAAACTGGACAATTACAAGCATGCACAGAGGACTGCAGGAACACTTTACTTAGTAAAATGGGTGACAGGCTAGGCCATTCAACCCATATCAGCTCTCTGTATTTGAAGACACATCTGAAGGTTAAATTATGGTCAGTTTATTCTGATTAAGAATGAATATATTTTACATAGGAACAGTTAACTGAGTTTGGTGTGCAAAAGGCCTAACTCTGTGCTATTTAGATACTTTGAAAATCAGACTGTATATATCACCTTTTAACTTTTACCAAACTGGAGTTGAGAGTTGACTTATAAGAAAATACAGAGGACTTACCTTTCTTTTCTATACAATTTTGCAGCATCTTTAACTTCTCTAAAAACATGGTCTACTTGACGGGTCAACATGTCATGCTTTAAACGCTCTAACAGGTTAATCATGTCATCAAAGACAGAGCTCTCCATAGAGGCTAGCTGTCCCAGCTGCAGTTTACTGAGAGTGTTATTCTCTGCAAAGACCTCCAATGCTGCCTGTTGAAGTTGTAGAAAGAACTGAAAGCAAAAATATATTAACACGTTTATTAAGATACTTTTTGTTAGCCCAGCCGGTGTAGCTAAGTGGTTGAGCATCAATCCATGACCCAGGAAGTCACGGTTCAACTCCTGGTCAGGGCACATGTCCAGGTTTGCACGCTCAATCCCCAATAGGGGGTGTGCAGGAGGCAGCCGATGAATGACTCTCACATCATTGATGTTTTTCTCTCTCTCTCCCTCTCCCTTCCTCTCTCTGAAATCAATAAAAACATATATTTTTTAAAAAGATACTTTTTTTGAGCCCAGCTGGCATGGCTCAGTGGTTGAGCATCGACCTATGATCCAGGAGATCTTGGTTCAGTTCTTGGTTAGGGCACATGCCTGGGTTGGGGCTCAATCCCTAGTAGGGGGCCTGCAGGAGGCAGCCAATAACTCATCATTGATGTTTCTATTTCTCTCTCCCCTCTCCCTTCCTCTCTCTGAAATCAATAAAGATATATTTTTTTAAAAGATACTTTAACAGTTCATATATAATTCAGTTGTTTAAAGTATATAGTTCAGTGGCTTTTATTATATTCAGAGTTGCGTATCTCTTACCACAACCAATTTTAGAACATTTTCATTACTCCGAAAAGAAACCCCACTCTCTTAGACATCATCCTCCATCCCTTCCACACTCTTCCTCTCTATGGGTTTGCCTATTCTGGACATTGCATATAAATGGAATCATACAATATGTGGTTCTTTGTGACTAGCTCCTTTCACTGAGTATGTTTTCATTGTTCATGCCGTAACATGTATTAGTACTTTATTTCTTTTTATTGCTAAATAATATTCCATTATACATATATACCACATTTTGATAGACATTTGGATTGTTTCCACTTTTTATCTATTATGAATACTGCTGTGATGAACATTTGTGTACGGGTTTTTGTGTGGACATATGTTTTCACTTCTTTTAGGAGGTATATACCTAAGATTGGAATTGCTGGATCCTATGTTAGTTAATTCTATGTTTAACCATTTGAGAAGCTGCCTAACTATTTTCCATAGTAACTGCACCACATATTTTCCCATCAACTGTGAGGATTCAAATTTCTCCACATCCATGCCAATAACTGTTAAGTCTTTTTTTTATAGCCATCCTAGTTTGTATGAAGTGGTATACCATTGTGGTTTTTATATGCATTTGCCTGGTAGCTACCAGACTTCTTTAAGTACTCATTTTTTTCTAGATGCATTTAAAGTTGTAGTAAACCTAGCAGATATAAAAATTAAGAACATTAAAATGTCATTTGTACAGTGGTATTTTAGGTAGAGTTAGGATTATTTTTTTCTGCCCTGCACGAAAACAGTGCTGTGGATATTAACAAAGATTCAAAAGAACCTAATGTCCATTAATAGGGGCCTGGGGATGGCCACACTTAGTAACTGTTCAGTGATGGATATGTGAGAGGCCGGCCACCTTGGTATTTCTGCTGAAACTATCAGGAAAGAAGCACTGTCCTTTCGAGATTGCTGATGGACCATGTGGGCCTGGAGCCACCTATGCCCACACTTACCAGAGCGTGTCTGAGTACAAACCCAGAAAACAACTTGAGAGCAGCCATGCCTAATCCTCTGAGTTACACAAAATCCTCATTTCCTCGTTCCACCCACTTCCCACTTAACCCTATGAATCGGGTTCCTGTCACCTACCCCTGAAAACTTCCTAATTCTGAATGGCTGAACATGCTTGGCATAACCTGGCAGTGGACAGAGAGCTATTAGTAGAGAATTGAAATGAATGGAAGGTGAACTCTTGTCCACTTTTCCTTTTTCTTTTTCTAAGTATGTACATACAAGAGCTTTAGTGATGTTTATTTAAAGCATTCAGAGGCTGAAGAACTATGAAGATGATTAAGGGACTTTTTATGTTAAACATAATTTGTACCATAATATACTAGGACACAGAATTCATTCGTGATTTGAAGAGTCAACTCCAAAATTTGGTTCTCTGTTGACAGAAGGACAGTTAATTCAGCATTAGAAAGAAATTTTCAGTGTCAGGTAATTTTCTAAGGATAGGGATAATGGCCAATTTGTCATTGTTAAAGGCTATGGCACTGAATAAAGTAGTTCGTGATGTTCCACAAATATTTCATTGAAGCTAAAAATCTGTCCCTGAATGAGTTTCTTTTTAAATCATCTGGCACAAGAATGAAGAATGATGATTTGTTGCATACTATTGAAAAAGCTAAGCAGAGCCCCGCT